ATGCCATCGATTGTCATCTACGGCCAGTTCTCGACCTCGTCAAGTTGTCGTCTTGCCACACCTCGCCTGACAGCGTTGACACAAACTTCGACAGGTATCGCAAAATGGCGGACTTCACATTCAGATGCGGTTTCGATACGCAATCTTCTATCTAGTACATAAAGTTCGATCGGTCAAGTGAGATAAATAAGTTCATTAATTTAATATTTGTTTTAATAAGTAAGTCTGACCAAATGGTGCGATGTGCATTAATACGCTGTAGGTGATTGGGAACTTCGAAGCCCTGTCTGGCTTAAATGTCCAACTAGGAGTCTAGGAGAGAGGAGGACTTTAACATACCTTACCGGAAGACATTACTGTCACGGGCAAACAGATATTTAAATTTATACAATTCCCTCCATGTTTTGGTCGCTTACCTTTCGTGACCAATTTGAGTCAAACCTTTTTCTGGCCAAAATCTCGCGTGCGTTTAAGCAAGTGCCCCTCTTAGCTACGTCCGATCAATTTGTCGTATTCGAGGCATAATTCAGTCTCCTCGCTTCAGGACTGTATTCGCTAACAGTAAGCCTACCATCTAAGATGCACAGCTCTGGTTCTAGCGATATTGTTCATGCTTGGGCATTTTTCTTCAGTGCTTAACTTTCCTCTCTTCACTAACTTGGCCTTCTTCAGGACTGGTTCAATTAGCGGAAAGCTGTGTAAATGGAGGCTTTGGCTGGCAATCTAGAACAGAAGGAATAAAGGGACATTATCGCTAGCAAAGTGGTCGAATCGGCCGTTTCACATGACGTAGAAATATTGGACAGTTTATAACAATATGACAATGCACTACAGCTTGTTGATCTACAGCCAGTCTACAGTCAGCCAGAAACTAATTCACATCTCCTGTCTGCCATATGAAAGTATACAGACGATCGCTTCCTTCGTTTTTCGTCAGGTGCATATTGAATCTTGAACATAAGCGTGCTTTGACTCTCTGATCTTAACGCGATCCTCAAGCGTAACTTTATGTACCATTTACTGTAGCAAATACCTAAATTTAATAAAATAATATACCAACATAAACAAATCATAACTCCAGGTACAAGAGTAACTACAAAAAGTGGTGGCTTTTCGGTTTAGCACGACAAAGTGTCACAGATCATGGATTAACTTCAATGAGAGGCGAGACTGAGGTGCAACCAGTTTCACTGTCATTCTGAAGAAAGATTGCAGTGAAAACACGGAACAGATGCCATATTTTGACAACAGTCACCGTGACATGAGTTTTGAACGGGCAACTCCTTTCTCTCAGCTGACTCTAACAAAGAAATGTTATATCTGCAGGGAAGAGGTTCACGAACCATCATCATCATCTTCCTCTTCCATGACCGTTTCTCCTTTCAGGTCACGGAAGCAGAAGCGTCAGTGCTTTTAACGTTCCTGATCCTGTGCCAGAGTCTGAATTTCGACAGAAGACAACTGGAGTCTGAAACAATGGTTAATCTTGGCCATCCCCTGACCTTTTGCCGGTCGGTTTGGCAAAAAATATTTGCTTAGCCTTCCTTTCTGGAGGCATTTGCAAAACATGGCCAAACCATCGCAGGCTTGTACCAAGGTTCGAAGCTTTTCAGTCATCGTCCACGTCACGTGACCACATGTAAGCATGAGGATAAAGATCTACTTAAATACGAGAGCTTCTTTATCAGACTTAGTCACAGTGGATCCAGCTAGTTCAAGCAGAAGTTCACGAATCATTTTGAACGAAAACAAATCATGTTGCAGGACTGACCGTAAACCATGTGTCTTAATGGGAAGTTCTGAAGAGATATAAGCATTGGAAATAAGTCAGAGTTAGAAAACTTTAGTGCTTTAAAAGATCTTTACTTTCATGAATGTGCAGTTTCTCTCCGGGATCAAGCAAGTTCGGAAACATCAGTACTCAATTGATAGATGTGATGTGTGCCTTTTACGGCGATGACGAACCGATCATAGGCTCGCCTGAAAGATGACTGTTGAAAGTCAAAAATTGCCAACTGGAATCCCTTTGATGAAAATGTGCACTCGAGCGTCCAAAATCACTCTGGAACGGTCCGATGGTCAAATTACTTAGCCATCGGTTGAGAAAAAGAGCGGGAAACGGAGGATACTAAGGAAAAATAGACTTATATTCTTGGCGCATCCATAACGAGGAATAATCATATCATGAATATTGCGCAAACATCTTAATCACCTAAGAAATGAGCAACAAGTCTGAAACCAGAGCAAGATCAACAATGATCTTACCTTTCCAGATGGCCAGCCATCTGTAAACACGGTCAAATTTGGTACAGTCCTTCCCCGGTTTGGAAGAGAACTTAAAATAGCCCACTGCTATGAAACTTCTGGAAGGAAACGTCATCTCCATATCTTCAACTCACTGCCCTCTTTCTGAAATAAGCATGGGCAGAAATCTATCCGTTTTGGTTTACACGTTGTGATTATACTCACGCTGGATAGTCAACTATCAAGTGAGTCAAAGAGAAGTGCAGCCGTAAGTGGCACACGAAATTATTTGGAGGTACAAATTGCCCATTCTGGCATGAACAGACCAAAATACCCTGCTGTCCATATTATCCGCAAATCACTGACTTACTACTCCTTGCGCGGCTGGTTGTGATGTGGACTGGTGCGTACTCCTCTTACTACTCGTTGCTTACTCGATTACTGGCTTAGAGAGATTTTCCTATTTTGGGACTTGAATCTAGCGCCTCTGGAATTCGAAACTGATCACGTGTTTACTATTGTGCCACTTTCTGATACATCCTTGGAAAAAATGGTGACCACTGGAAGTGACAGTTCTTCTTAAACTCAGAGTGTTAACGAACTGCAGAGAAAAATGAATGATGACATGCACAAATGGTAATATCATTTGTATCACTGGCAAATATGAACTAAGTATTACATCTGAGATTGTCATCATACAGTTTACAGTATCAACGTGGATGGCATTGCAACGTAATACCATTGGCCTAAATTCCTATGATGCAGAATAACAACTATCGAGTTTAAGTTAAAATAACGTTTACTACACAAGGTACAAAGTACAGACGAATCGAGAGAAATCACTGCCATGAAAAATCCCTTCGGACCAGGCGATAGAACAGCAGATTGGGCGTTTCGTAGAAACTGTACAGTGTCCGCAGAAGGTGACCGGGAATCACAGGATGCTTTCTACCCTTGGTGCTGCCAAGGCACTTTGGCTGTTTCGGGTGTTTCCGTGGACAAGGGAAACTTTTGCCCGATCGACGAACGGTGAAAAAGTTGTTCGGGCCGATAGCCCTTTCGAGACCGAGGAAGTCCTCGACGAGGTTTGCCTCTTCGACCGGGTTAGTGATCAACCTCTCGCCGTTGACGAAATGCATCTGTTTCAACGGGAAGTATTTCAGCCATCTCTTCACGTGCTTGTGATAGAGTCCGATCGATATGGCGTGCCACGACTGGTTGACGATCGCTGACCCCTGGTCGCGACTAATAAAGGCCATTTCCTCGAATGACGGCATCCGCGGTCTCTTTGAAGCGTTTTGCGCATAATCTATGACAACATACGATGAAGTTCGTTCAGTGACAACAGACCTCCACAAAACACAGTGCACAACACTCCTTACCGGATAATGCCCGAGTGACCGGGTCCCGGACGACGACGATCAGCTTCGTATCCGGATTCATCTTATGGATACGCTCCGGAGTCCGTTTGGCTATGAAGTATTTAGGTGTCTTCTCGATCGTTATTTCGCCAGGGCACGTTGCCGGCATTTGCCGCCTACAACAAACTATGGTTATGATATATTCACGTTACATGGTGCCCACGCACTACTTCAAAACAGCAAACGGTACCTTGCTATAATACGAACCTTTCATGTGAAGCATTTGCGGAACAGAAGCAATCTCTCAAACAGAAACTAGTACTGAAGGACGTCGACAGCATAACTGAAAGACTACAACGTTGAAAGCACGGGAAGCAAAAGGCCATGGTCTGGGTATCTGGTTCGATTTAATGATTGCTGACAGGACGGCCACCGTCGAGTGACAGAGGTATGACAGTGAAAGACTGCTCCATTACCCTCCGAAAACATAGGCCGATTTCCCTGCTTGCTTATAACGGAGATTGGGGCAAAGGGAATGACTCAATAAGAAAAGAAAGGAGACTCTGCAGTGCTCAATGCGGAATAACTCACTCGACTGAATATCAATCGATGAAGCTAGTGACACATGATACCAAACTCATGTGTTTTGCTGTCATCTCCGGTCGAAGGACAACTAGCACCGTGTACAAGCGATATGGTATCGACACC